ATAGAGTTGGGGTCAATTTACTTGATATTTTTATGTTGCTTTAACAAATATTATGGAATGAATAGATAATATATTGTTTTAACAACTAATTCCAGTGATGGATTCATTCGTTCAGCTTTCAGTAGCAATACATGTGTCCACGGTAAGACAGCCCTGGCATACTTTTTAAAAGACTCTCTTGCTTTCAGTTTTACATCAGCAGCTAGGACTATGCAGAGGATCCTGGCCTATGTCCACAATGCCAGGCTTTCATTAGATTTACACATTGGTGATGAATTTCATCTGCTAGCTATGAAGCACCAGATTTCTCTTGAGTACTCTCCAATACAAGCTCAGCCCACCATCCAAATGAGGCGAGATGAGACTTTTAGAAAGGCAGGACAAAGCCATCATTGCAGACTAAAAAGCACTCAGTTCAATGTTGTCAGACAGGATAAAAATTGAGAAATCTTAATATATGTTTATTAAAAAACAATGTAAAATTTTCATATAATCACAGAAAAGGTTTCAGTAGAATGAAAAGAGATATGCCAGTCAAAAACTGAAGAAAAAGATATCAGATAAAATTAAAAAGTATTATCAGATGGTCTGCAAGAAGACAAAATCAAAAAATAGTAATGGAGTGATTCACGTATCCACTGTGAGCTGGAATTCTTTTCCTTTTTATACTATTTTGGAGAGACAAACTGATATTATTTGCATTTTTTAAGTGTAACTAATTCCTAGTAGGTCTATAGTGTCCCTTGTCAGGAGTGGTGTTATTTTGTTTGAACTGTTTTACATTAATTTAGATGATCAAGCTTCAGTTGTCCTATATCCTTTCTTAATTTTGAACATATGCATTATTGACATAATTTAACATCTTAGCTTCCTCCTACCATGTAATATGCTATAAGGTGGCATGGGTTCAAGGACTAAGACTTTATTCTAATTGGCTAAAAGTCTGCATGATTAGGAAGCTAAATACGTGAATCAAATATTTAGATAACTAAATATATTTTTTGATTTCAGGAAACTCAGTACTATATATTTTCTAACTAAATATGAACATTTGTTTCATTATTAAGAATTTTTTTTAAAAAAAGGAAGATAAGGAATTTGGACACTGGATCGGCAGCACCATTCTAGTATGTAAGATAGTTGTTACATTTCAGACTATTTCCTGGGCTTAGAATATCTAGAATATTTTGACATGCCCACACTGAAGCCTCCAGAGTTAATATTTTATTCTGTCATACAACAAATTAACAATGTGTGGGGTGATAATATAGTTTTGAGCCCAAGCTATCTAAGGCTATGAGTCAGCTCCAAAGAACTAGTGCCTCAGTTTATTCTGAAAAATCAAAGTTAAATGAATGTATAATTTCTAAATCCAATACTCACATGATAATTTTTTTGTATCAAGAATATCTCACAAGATTGGGGCAACATCAAAGTGATAAAGATCACTTTAAAAAAACGTATACCTGAAATATTTGCCATAACTTTTATTACCATTAAATTATATTTATGAGCATCAAGTTATTTTTACTTAAGATGCTACTATATCAGGTTTCATTCATTCTTATAGTGATATTCCTTTTCACATTGTTCTCTGAATAGCCAGCAATGAGAAGAGAGGCAAGGAAAAGTTTGTCTCTCATAGCCCTAAGACCAACTTGGCTCAACTTCAGAGATACTTTGCAGATTGAGAAAACTTAGATGCATAAAGCATAAAAGCATGAGGTCTGCAGGTAATGGTAATTATATTTCTTTCATTCATCAAAAACAACTTTAAAGCATTCATTTAGACTTTACCATAGAACGGTACTAGTTATAGTTCTATACTAAAATAAAACGCTAACACCAAGCCTGGTAGTGATTTATATAGATTTATTATAGATTTATAATAAAAATGCTATTGGAATTCTATGTTTACACATGCTCCATTTATATACACGCAAACAAATGTCAATATTAGTGGTAAAATTTTAGGGTTTTAAAGAGGCACATTTCCTACCTACCCACCTCCATGTATTCATGACACTAAGATGGGTTTTCATAAGCAACATTTAGATTTGTGAAGGGAAAAAAATGAATATTTCTAGTATCTATCCTTTTTCCTTTCCAGCTTTTGTTTGAGAAAGGATGCAGTACATACAATCTAAAACAGAAACTAAGGCTGTAAGACCTTCTATATAATACATGCTCATACTCATGCATGAGTTGACTGCGATAGGTCAGAAGATCTTTGAGCAAAGTAATGCACTTGCATGTGTAAGCACTGCATATAAGTGATACTCTTCAGACAGACACACACACACACACACACACTCATGTTTCTTGAAATAACATGTTAACTGTATTATGTAACCCCAAGAATGTATCACCAATGAAGACTTTTATGCTGCAACCGCTGATCATAATTAACTAATAAATGCTTCTATGTAGGCAACAAACACCATGAAAAGGAAAATAAAAGCCAGTTATTGTGAAACAAAGACAAATTAAAGATACATAAATATCTTGAGTGTTAATATACAAAGACAGTGATTATAAAAAGATATCTGAAACCACCCACTCTTAAAATAGCCAGTTTCTAAGACTCTATTACTTAGACTTTAAAGGCACCCAAGAGTTGGGTCTTTTCCCAGTCAAAATCTTTCACAGCAGAAAACAAAAGACACTTCAAAGTAGGTACCTGCACTTCAGCTTGCCTGTAAGACCTTTCCTCTGTGATTATCTATGCTTTTAATAATCATGCCTAAAATATTCTCTTTTTTGGTTATTACTAAGTAATTTAAAAGTTTTATTCCTTCAGGACTTGGAAAAGAAAAAGTTTTAGCAAGCAAATGCTAATATTTCTGAAACTATCTGTAAATACTTGTCTTTTGGATAAAAATTAATAGCATACAAATAGTCTTCTAAGGACTTGTCTTGGTTTCAGTCCTCTGAAAGGAGAGAGTGGTATACCACTCTCTGTTGTAGATCCTTCTACACTATTTTCTAAATATTTCCTTGCCTATAAACTTTCAGCAGGATAAAGCCCAGCACCTCTTCCCTATCCGTTTATTCCACGGCATAGCAACACCACAGATTTCAGGGTAATTTCCCCAGCAGCCATGTGAATTGTGACTCACTGTTGATTACACAAAATTAGTATTTGAACTCCTTTCAAGTTTTACATTCATCACGTAATTGGGATATAAAGCATTCCATGCAGAGAAAGCAGCATTCAAAGGAATATACAGGATGTGCTTAAATAATGCATACTACCAAATTTTACAGATGTCTTTTTATATTAAAATGATATTAAACACACTATCATATTAAATTGAAAACACTTTAGATCTAAAAAAAATGTTGTTGCAACAAATGACAGAGTGAGAAATAAAACCAAAATTTATTTTTATAAAATACAGTCTATTATTTCAGGTATAAAATACTACATATAACTATACTTAAATATCTTCTAAATTATAATTTTAGGATTTATAGTTTTAAAAGTTATCTCTGAGTTTCAAACTTAGTATATTACATGCAGATGTATATAATGAATCTTTCTTTTTAAAACTGGAATTGGGCATGAATATAATTCTAAAATGATATTCCTGGAGTCAAAGAACTGCATCTCAGACAACCCTTCTCCTTAACTCATTAGAACCAAATAACTTCCTTAAAACTATACTTCCAGCTGGGCGCGGTGGCTCGTACCACCAGCATGTGAGGTGGGGCTCATGCCACTTTGGGAGGCCAAGGTGCGTGGATCACAAAGTCAGAAGTTCGAGACCAGCCTGACCAATTGGCAAAGCCCTGTCTCTACTAAAAATATAAAAATTAGCTGGGTGTGGTGGCATGTGCCTGTAATCCCAGCTACTCAGGAGGCTGAGGCAGGAGAATTACTTGAACCTGGGAGATGGAGGTTACAGTGATCTGAGATCGTGCCATTGCACTCCAGCCTGGGCAACAGAGGGAGACTTTGTCTCAAAAAGAAAAACAAATAAAAAACTATACTTCCTCGCTTTTGAGTGGGTTCTAGTTAGAGAAGTTCATGAGTTGGACTTCATTTTAATGTTTCTTCTGGTTTTTGGATTCCTCTGGGTTATTTTGACATCACTATTATATTGTATCATATCATCTCTCTGAACAAGCTGTTCATTGTATGTTACTGTCAAGTATTTTGCTGAAATATAACCTAAAGGAAGAAATGTTGCTTCTTGCTTTAATTTCCCTTACGCATTAGTGACAATTTCAATCATAACAATTGCCAGGTTTGTACTTTGTATTCTGGATTCCTAATTATGAGGGATGATTGAAGGTAATTCAAAAGTGTTTCAAAATTACCTACTGCCAAAATTCTGGAAAATGTCTTTTGCAAAATGGAATGTTAATGCTCTGAGGACTGTATTTGCACTAACATGTTCTGTGCACTTTTATGGAAGGACAGGGGAAAGGACTATGTTGATCATAAATAATGTGGAAATGTCACTATTGTTCTGCCCTCTGTCTCCAAATATGGAGAATCTATTTGGTTTCTATTTTTAATTATATATATTGGTATACTGTTAATTTCTAAAGCTAAATGGTCTAAATTCAAGAGGGGTAGCCTGATAAATGTTTAAATGTGACAATCATTTTTGTGTAGAATTTATAAAAGTATCACAGACCATGAATGTCTGCATCTGAATGAGTAAATAATGCTTCCTAAGAATTCTCTGAAATGAGCAATATTTTGATGTTTTAGTTATCAGATATCTCTTTATTTTAAACTCATTTGTTGCATAGTTAGTAGATAAGATCAACTCTTGATTTGTTTTATAAAATAGCAAGTATTTATTTTCCTATCACACTTGAGACTTTGATAACTTATTCTTACCCTTGTCTGCAAAGAAATAGTTGGATATCTTGATTTATTTCTATTTAAATTGGTAAAACCAGCTGCAACAACCAGTATTTGCAAGTGAGTGCACACACACACAGACACATACAGACACACATACATACAAAGAATAACAATAAAATAAAGAAGCCTATAAGGGAAGTATATTAATAAACTTCATTACAGAGAGATGGCCAAGAAAGAGAGCCATGACTCCTTTCTCCATTTTTATAAGACAGAGCACAAGTTGCATTTTGCAAGGCTACGGAGTTGTATTTTTTTTTCCATTTATACCATTTCTCAGTAAGAATAAGATTCTTTTTGGTTGCATATGCATCTACAGACTCTAAATGTAGGCAAATAAGAACTATGAGAACAGTAAGTTACTTTTGGCTACTTCTGTTATGCTGATCAGGTGAGAAAAATCTGGGATTCATATTAGGAGCCTTTCTGAATAGTTTAATTCCTTTACAGCCCCCATTAGCTGTCAGCTACACCATGGATATTGTCCATGTGCACTTTGAGGTAGTCATTCCTTGTAAACTTCTTATGGCAAAACTGGCATTCTGCCAGTGGACGATTGGGATTATGAGTCATCTTGTGTCGAATCAGCATTTTCTTCAGGCTAAAAGCCAAGTCACAAACCTAGAAAAGACCCAAAGACCAACCATATTATACTGAAAAACCTGAAGATACACCAATTGATCATTTATACAATACATGTTATGCAAATTTCTACGATCAAATATGTAGTAACAGGCATAAAAACAAAAATCACTCTTGGAATAAACAAACTTTAACACCCACACTATTGGGCAAAGAAAATTAATAAGAGTTACTGCATTTAATCAGTGTCCTTTGCACCTCAACCACCCTTTCCTTTTCCCAGCTATTGGATTTAAACATCTCCAGAGAAATAACTCCCTGGGGCAACAATACCTTTCTTATCCTAACGGAATGTATTTGCCATTTTATAAACTATTGAAGCAAAATGCTTTATGGTCTAGATGGCATCTCTCCCTATAACCTAAAGGGCATAAGACATTTCTCACTGGCGATCCCCTCAGTTTAGTACCACTTGTAAAATGAAAAGCTAATGTTGTTTTAAATATCATAAGCAGACATTTATTACTCGCTATTTCATTTATTATTTCTTATATACACTTTAAGGAAGGTAACAAGTTTATTTCATATAAGCTCTGCCACATCCCCACCTGGCTCAACATGCATGAAACAGCCCCATAACTAAAAATATTAACACAGAAAATGCAAGGCACAACTATCCAAGTTACAAAAAAGTAAAATGGAATTTAAAATTTGATGGTTATTCACAAAAATTCCACTGACATGAAACTCTTCAAAAGCATATCCGTTGTGAAATAAGACATGTTAAATAAGTAAAATCACCATAAAAAATATAATGAGAGAGAAAATTGCTTGTAAAAAATACTGTAAAGAAAGCTGGAGTTTTAAATGAGGTTAGGCTTGGAAAAATCTTATGGCAAAACAAAACAGAACAAAAAAATCCTTGCCCTCTTTCTTTATGGAGGAAAGAAGATTTACATTCATAGTAATAAGAAACTCAGAAAGCCTTAGGCCCCTAATTTGGTAAGACGGGGTAATCCAATAATAATGAATTTTAGCACAGCAGCAGCAGTATAGCGTGGTACAAAGAAAATAAGCTACAGAGTAAGATCACTTTCCAAGGAAGCCTGCTGTGACCTCCCAGTTTAAAACTGAAACCTGTCACCCTTTCTGGATTTCCTTTACTCTGCTCAAATTTACTTTTTACACAGTGCTTGTCCCTTTCTTTCCCAATGTGTCTGCCTCCTCTCTTGTTTAGTATCTCTCTCTACTCACTAGAGTCTCAGCTCCATGAGGGCAGGGATTTTTGCGTATTTTATTCCCCTATGTATCCTAAAGGGTACAACAATTTCTATAGAGTAAGCACTAGATAAGTATTTGTTGAAGAACAATGTGGAGTTTGAATTCTGACTCTATTATTTGCTAAGGACATTAAATGGACCAAGCATGCCTTTTAACTTTAGTTCCCTCATCTGTAAAATGACAATGTACTTGCCTCACAGGATTATTAAGACTAAACAAAATACTCTGTGTAAATAAGGACTATACTGCAGACACTCAACTGTCAGTGCACATTTTTTTTTCTCTTTCATCTCCTCAGCATATTGGAAAGAATTGACAAATGTGAACGAGAGAAAGACAAGTCCAACACAAGTGGAATATAAAGAAAACACCACTGTTCTCAAGACTGGCAGTCCCCTGGAATATACCAGTGGCTTTGCAAACAAGTAATTTCCCAAAACAAATATCATGCAGCCAATTAATCTCAGGAAATGACGGTTTTCTTTGGAATAGTTTGTAAGCATAAGCTTTGTTAAGTCAGTATCTCTGAGGCAACTGCAAAACAAAGCCAAGTCCACATTGCAAAAATCAGAGGAAAAGGGTAAAGACCCAGGAAACATGAAACAGCATAACATACGATGACAGACTATAAAGTATATGAATTATAATAATCAATATAAAAGTATTAAGTATGCTTATTAAAGGATAAGATTCAATTAGGATAAAAAGCAAAATGCAAACACATACTGTACTTAAATACATTTACAAATATAATACACAAACAATTTTAAAAGACAGATTAGAGTGTGCATGAAAGTGTACAAAATGATGCTGAAAGAGTATAATGGGTACTAAATAGTACTTTCTCAAAGAATCTTGGGTAGACAGAGAGACAGCAAGCCTTTGAAGAACCAGGAGTATCACTTTTATACTCCTCCTAGTCAAAGATTTATATACAGGATGCTCATATAGAATAATATATATAGGTGAAAACTACAAATGACTTACTTGGCCAATGTTAATGAGCATATTCATTTTCATATAATCAGATGTAGAAATATTTTCCAGCTGTTAAAAATACTAATCTTTGTTTTTTGAGTCAAGATCTCTCTCTGTTGCCCAGGCTGGAGTGCAGTGGCACAATCTTGGCTCACTGCAGCCTCAATCTCCCTGGACTCATATCTTAGCCTCTGGAGTAGCTGGGACTACAGGTGGATGCCATCATGACCAGCTAATTTTTAAAAAACCTTTTAGCTATGAGATTTTACCATGTTGCTCAGACTGATCTCAAAGTCCTGGGCTCAATCCTCCTACCTCGGCCTCCCAAAGTGCTGGGAAAACAGACGCGAGACACCACATCCAGCCAAAATTGAAATTTCAAAAATACTTAAAGGCAAGAAGAAATGTAAAGAAAAGAAAGCAGAATAATAAGATTAATACGACTTAGTCTACAATATTGAAATAAAAATAACTGTATCTGTATTAATAAGTATATGAAGGAAATATCAATAGATTAATATTAATTTAGTTGACATCGGTTGGGAAATGGGGGATCATTTTATTTGTCTTCATTTGTCTCTGTATTTCCTCCTTCTTCTCTAATTAAAAGGCACATTTTTATAATCAGAAAGCAAATATTTTGGAATGAAAAATACAGTTAGTTGGGTGATGGGTCCATGTTCACTTAGCAGCAAGACCAAAAATGCTCATCATCACTGGTCATTAGAGAAATGCAAATCAAAACTACATTGAGATACCATCTCACGCCAGTTAGAATGGCGATCATTAAAAAATCTGGAGACAACAGATGCTGGAGAGGATGTGGAGAAATAGGAACACTTTTACACTGTTGGTGGGAGTGTAAATTAGTTCAACCATTGTGGAAGACAGTGTGGCAATTCCTCAAGGACCTAGAAATAGAAATTCCATTTGACCCAGCAATCCCATTACTGGGTATATATCCAAAGGATTACAAAT